AAAGGCCATGAACTTGGCCTAAACAAACTTCCAAAGAACATGGCATCCACGAAAGAGAAAAATAAAAGAACGAAAGGACAGCTGACGAACTGAGGAAGAAATCACTAAGAAATTGTTATAAAAAATAATAATATGAAGTGATCTGAAAAAATAGCAAATAAAGTTTCAAAACATAATTTGTGAATTGCACAAATATGTCACAATATATATTTATATACTGTATACGAGGCCTCTAGAACTATAAGAGATGCAAAAATTCACTGTTAATAACTCATTCTCGAATTGCCCCCCTTAAAAATCACATTGCTCCCCTGCAGGGTGTGTGCCCCACGTTGGGAACCACTGGTCTAAGAGTAATTTTCACATTGCTTGTTTGCATTTGTATTTCTTACAAATATGTACGTGGAGATAAGTGTAAAATAGCTTGGATTTAGATATTGTTTTGTTTCATAGGATTTTCTCTTTTGAACTCATTTTCAAGCCTTTGCTAGTTATGTAGTTCAACAACCTAAAATGGAAGTTGAAATCCTGGACTTAAAAGATATTTGCAGCAGAAAGGTGATTAGTGTTGCAGGTACTGCAGTTTAGATATTTTTATATTGTACTGAGATGAGCACTAAAGCTTTGTGGTATAACACAAACAATTTTAATAGGATTAGAGGTTAACATGGTAAGAGGTTTGATTATTAATAGCAATTTTAAAGAAAAGGAATATTGGAGAAGTTTAAATAAATTCAAGTTTAAAATGGTTATTTTGTTAACAAGAAATAAAATGAGAGAATAAACCATCTATCTACATATAAAGTAAATGTTCCAAAGTAAGAGGTAAAATGGAGACATCTGGGAATCTTCCCTTAACAACTTGAATTTTAGATGTATAGTTTAACTTTCATTAAATTGATTTTCACCTAAAGTTTTTCGTACTAAAGGCAGGACATTTGTTCTCTTTGAGGAGATCATTACTTTTGATGTAATTTTCTTTTAAGTAGAGTTTTATAATCATATCAGCATGCCTTTATGAATATGTAGTTTTAAATAAAGATGGCGTACTTTAGGATTGATCCTCTACAGCGCTGCTCATCTGCTAATTCAGAGGCATCATCGCAGCACAACCTTTCTCCCACATTGGGTTACATGCAGTTCAGTAAAAATAATTTTTAAATCGGGAGTATTAAGCCTCAGATTTTTTCTGCAGAGTTACAGGGATTCTTGCACAATGAGAGGCAAATTCTTCTTGGCACATGGTTGCAAAGTAGTTAAATTTATAGTTTCTGCTGATTCTTCGGTCTGTTTCCCAAATAGTCTGTGACTGTTCTTGACAAATATTAGACTATTGAGCTTTTGGAGAAGCTGAACGTGTGGCTAAGATGGGCTACAGATTTCTTTTTCTTCATACACTTAACCCCTCCCCTGCTTTTATTTGAGCAGTGACAGGAACTAGGGATGATTGTGCAGGAAAGCTAACCCTTACCCTGCCTCATCACACTGTTGTTTAATCTGCAGAGGAGCAGGCCTCTCAGTGGAAAAGCTGAGTGGGATATCCCGCTGGCCTGTGGGGTCAGGTGATCCTAGGTAAACCGTGTGCTCGGGGGCCAGTCGCCAGATTGCTCACCTTGTACGGTGTGTGTACATATACACGTGTATGTAATATTTCAGTATCAATATACATTATACATTGACTCTTGAACAACATGGGTTAGGGGTGCTGACGCCCAGCACAGTTGAAAATCCGTGTATAACTTTTGATTCCCCCAAAGCTTAGTTGTCCCTCAGTATCCTCAGGGGTTGGTTCCAGGACTTTCCATGGGTACCAGAATCTGCAGATGCTCAAGTTCCCAGTGTGAAGTAGCGTAGGTCAGTGCATACAGTTGGCCCTCCACATCCATAGACTGCCACTCATGGATTGAAAATGTGTAGGTATTTAATATTGAGAAAAAACCTGGGTATAGTGGATTTGCCTAGTTTAAACCCATGTTGTTCAAGCGTCAGATGTACTTGGCTTAACAAAAACGCAACCTTTTAATTCATGCTCACAGATCTGGCAGTTGAACTCCCGTTCCCCTGCTGATCTGTGTTACCACTCTCTATGGAACTGTCTTCCATCTTCTCTATTCTCAGACTCGCTCCTACCCCCTCACTCTCAGCCGATGGCCTTGCATTTTATGTCCTTGAGACTAAAGCAACCGAGGAAAAATACGGTCTCCTGTCACCAAACCTCCCAGCTACTGTGGCATTAGCCACATCCTATACCTTTCCTCTTTGTGCCAAAATTCAGGGTATCCAGCTTAAGCGAAGCCTCCTCTTTTGACCCAGAACCCACCTCTTTTTGGCTACTGAGGAATTTAACACGTCTATCATCAAATATTCTCTCTCTTTTAGGTCATTCCCTTCAGCATACAAATAGCCTGAAATCCTCTCCCTTGGTCACACAGCCCTGTTCTGCTACCTCATGCTTTGCCTCCAATTACTGAAAATTCTACAAAAGAATTGTCTGTGCTCTGTCTCCATTTCTTTTTTTGTTTGTTTTCTTTTTAAAATTTAAATATAGTTGGTATACATTATTATATTAGTTTACAATATAGTGTACAATATAGTGACTTGACATTTATATACCTTATGATGCGATCACCACACTAAGTCAAGTAACCAGCTGTCACCATGCAGCTGTCACAATATTTTAAACTACATTCCCCTTCTTTTTCACCCATCTTCTCACCCCCACCCCCACCCCACCGCTCTGGCAACCATCAGTTTGATCTTTGTTTCTATGAATCTGTTTTTGTTTTGTTCATTTGTTTTTTTAAATTCCACATATAAGTAATATCATATGTTTGTCTTTCTCTGTCTGACTTATTTCACTTAGCATAATATCCTCTAGGTTCATCCATACTCAGTTCTCTCATGAACTCACTCATTCCATCAAAACTGCCCTTGTAGAGGTCAGCGATGGCCACTACCATGCCAAATCCAGTGACCAGTTCTCAGTCTGTATTTTATTTAATCTTTCAGTGCATTTGACAAAGTCCTTTTTAAAATCCTGTTTTCAATATTGCTTTTTCTTTCATCTCCCTGCTTATTCCTCCCTCATAGTTTTCTCGGCTAGACAATTCTTGATTTTCTGACGTCGGAATGTCAACTGTCAAATTAGCATGTCCAAATTAAACCTTGTTTCCCTCTTTCAGATGTGTTCCCAGGCCAGGAAAAGGAGTGATCTTTGACTTCATTCATTTCCCACCCCTACTCTATCCACAGATCTTGATAGCTCGGTCATGTCAAAACCAAGCCCTACCATTTTTATCACCACCGTCTGACCTTCATTCCTCAGCCATCATTCCGGGGGTCATTGCAATCAAGAGCTTTTCACTGGGACCCCTGCGTTCCTCTTTTTCATGGTTTCCTCTCAACAGAGCCTTCAGGGTGATGCTTTCAAGACTTAAGTCATGGCACACCACTCTTCTGCTGCAAATTTCCAGTGGCTTCCCATCTTGTTTGGAATAAAAGCCAAAGATGGCAGGCAGGCCGCCTCATCTGGCCCCTGTGGCCTCTGACTGCAGCATCACCACTCTCCCGGCTCACTCCGCCTGGGGGCACGGGTCTCTGTCCTCCACGCCAAGTCCCCTTCCGCATCGAGGCGTTTGCGCTTGCTGACTGGTGCCTCTAAAACTCCCGCAGTTTCCTCAGATGCTGTCACCTCACTGCCTTCATGTTTCTGTTCTCAGTTCAGCTCTCAAAGAAGCCTTTCCCTGGCTACCCTACCTAAGGAGCACCTCTCCCCATCCCCGCCAGCCCACCAACAGCTACCCACTGTCCCTATTCTGCTTTAACGTTGTTTCTTAGAACTTAGCCACCATCATTTATTCCTTTTCCTTTTGTCCGTCTCTGCTCCGAGGAATGAAAACACAGGAGTAGGAACTTCTGCTCACAACACCATGGTAGCATTGCTCCGCTGCTCCGTGAGCTTTTGTTAATTGAGTGAACGAATAAGTGCCCATGTGCATATGCAGGGTTATCACATGTGGTGCCGTGGGAAAATAATTCCAACTTCCTGTTTGAAATTTAGATAGGTAGCCTTGTTTTATCAGAACCGCATTGCCTTTCCTGCTCGTCTTCAGGATCTCGCGTGGCCAGAGGATGCTGTTGCTTAGGCCTTGCTTTTTGAGCTGGCAGGCCTAGACATCCTGCCCTCGGTCGGCTTGTGTCCCAGCAGGTGCTTAATTGTCTTCATGTGCTCACGGACTAAAGAAGGGCCAGCACGCCTTTTGAAATGTTCTTAGAGAACATGAGTCCGTAGGTTTTCCAGTTAAAAATAATTTCTCTTTAAGATACACCTTTAAGTCTAGTGCTCCACTAGGTGACTTCTCAGTAGTATGATGTTTCTAACATTTGTCGTGAGATCACTGCCATCTAAAAACATTAGCCAATTTGCTTTATAATTAACAAAGCAAAAACATTTGTAACTTACTGTATAATTAATTTTATTTATGGCCACTTAGATCAAGCTTATTTTGGCAAGCCCCCTTTTAGGGGAAATCTCAGATACAGGTTTTACTCACAAATAGTATGTCAATGATTTTCACTTCATGACACACATAAACTAATTACTAAAATTCTGTGGCACATCAAAAATATATTCTATTTTATGCCTATCTGACAAAGAAAATGGGTATAATTTTGATTCTTTCACACCGGACGGCTGTTGTTGTGTTGCCTGTTGTCATTTTTGTATTTGACCCCGTAAGGGGAAAGAGGCCAGCGCCCCCGCTGAATAGGCAGGTAGTGCCTGTTTCAAACGTTCCTGCGACGCACCGGCTAAAAATTCCAGGATAGGCTGATCTGTCTTTCAAAGCATTCTATTCAAATAAGTTACATCCCAAGAATTTTAATGATATAAAATTATGCTTCTCTATAATACAAACAGAAACCTAAAAATCCCCAAATAAAAATTTCATTTGTGAGCAGATAGGAATTTAGTTTTAAAATCTATGTTCTTAAGTATATCGTTTTGCTCAAGCATTTACTGTCATGGCACTTACATTTTTTTCTTGTAAGTATAGCCACTGCGACATCATTAAGTTCATTGAAAGGTTCCCAGTTAACTCTTATGAAGGTGACACTTTTTATTAAACTAAAAAGACGAGGCATCTGTGACCCTAGGGACACATACTGTTTACAAAAGCTCATTAAAGCCAGATGAGGCCTGGAAACCAGGAGTGAATGTTCCTCTGGAGACTCGGCTTTATTTGAAACCCGAGTGCCTTTAAATAGGGCAAGTGATTCTCGCTCTCCCTCCCCCCGCTGAGCATTCCTCCTGGGAAAACCAGAGATGCTGCTGGATGGGTGGAATCTTGGTTGCTCAGGCCAGTACCTTCTGTCAGAGAAACAGATCTCGGCTCCTGTGCAACTTCCCGTTCCGATGAAGTGTAGTGAGGAGGATTCCCTGGGAAATGAGTCCTTCAGGACGGAGTGCAGATAAACAGCACTGTGCATGGCCAGGGCGATTGCAGTGCACTAGCTGTCCCTGCGTGGAGGTTTTTAGGGAGTACACACTAAGGACTTGAAGATTCTTAGATAAACTTCTCTTTGCATTGCCTTTTTTAGAGGTTTAGAGAAATGAGCACTTTCCATAGTTTAACTGTTTCTCTTTCTTTTTTCATTCCTTTTCCATGTCCATTTTTTATTTCACCCAACACCAAAAATGCCCTTTCAGAAACACAAAGTAGATCTTTTCTACAAACTGCGCCATGTGATGAATGAACTTATTGACCTTCGAAGGCAGCTACTGTCTGGTCACCTGACTCAGGACCAGGTGCGGGAGGTTAAGCGGCACATCACCGTGCGCCTGGACTGGGGGAACGAGTAAGTATGTCTGTTCTTTGGGCATCTCAGGTTTATTACAGTAACTCAGTCCTCATGGGTTTGCACTTAATCCTAGCTTCTCCTTAGTGATTAAAAGTCATTATTATATTATCTACTAAGCTTTGGCCATTTTTACTACGCGTTGTCATTTCTTTTAGTTTAGCAAAGGACACGCACTGGCTCTACTCACTGAAACTCTCTCAGCCTCCATTTTAACTTCTGGAAAATCAGATTGGACAACATGATCTACTGAGGTCTCTGCCAGCTCAAATTCCTTGATTATCGACCTCAGGAATCAGAATATGCTTTTGTTTCATCTTTTAGTACCTTTTTGATAAATGTGAATTTGGTGCCCTTTACTTTTTATAGTCATGCAGTGCATCTAAATAAGCATATACACCAATGGGAATTTCTACATCTGTACTTCAGAATATTCTTAACTAATTTTCATTCACATATAGTCCTGTATTTATAGGTGTGATTATTTGCTATTGCCGTATAAGTACAATCCTAAGACTTTGGTATGGGAAGCTAGAGTAAATAGTATTTTGATTTTCCTTCTTCCTAGACTTAATAATTGATATAATTTTCAGATACTTTTGTCTCATTATCTTAAAATCATGTCCATTGAACTTTGAAGTGACCAGTTTACTTCCTATAAGACATACATATACCTAAAGTATATTAGTGCAAGTCTTTAGCTCCTCTCCCTCTCAAGACTTCATTAAATATTAGAAAATAAAAAGAATGGGAGGGGGCCAGCAATAAATGAGATCTAGAAACCCATTTCTACAAAGTAGTTGGAGGATTAGTGACAGAGGAAGCCCAGTGTATGTGTGGGAAATGTTAGCTAATGAAGGAGCTGCTCCTTTGTAACCCCCAGAATCATGGAGGGTAGGAGTGGGCCTTGGAACATAAAAAAGGGGGATTCTTGAGAGTCTGTAAAAGAACTAATCCACCACCATGAGAGAATGCTTGGCAGCCAGGGGTTCGACTTCAGGCTCCAAATACCAAGGCCAGCTGCCCGGGAGGAAACTGGACAAGAGAGAGCCGGGCCTTATTGTGGGTTTCAGAGTGTAATGACCAAATCCCTTCCACTCAGCAAAAAGAGAAGCTGCTAGCCACCTACCCACGTACAGAAAACTCCCACACTTCGAAGGGCTTTCAAGTCTGAATGGACAATTGAGTATCATCAAATATTTGAAGAAATCCTTCCATAGGGAAGAGACAGAAATCAGAGTAAACAAAATACCTAGCCCAGAGGAAGGCATCAGGCCCCTGAGAGAATCAGGAGGAGTAAAGAACTTTTTTATTTTTATTTTCTTGATTGATTAAGGTGTTACATATGTGTTCTTACCCCTTATAGTCCCCCCACCCCACCCCCGCTCATGCCCTCACCCTCCTAGTGTCTTGTCCATTGGTTAGACTCATATGCATGCATATAAGTCCTTTGGTTGCTCTCTCCCCCTTACCCCCCTTACCTGCCTTCCTTCTGAGGTTTCATGGTCTGATCGATGCTTCTCTGTCTCTGGATCTGTTTTTGTTCATCAGTTTATGTTGTTCATTATATTCCGCAAATGAGTGAGATCATGTGATATTTATCTTTCTCTGACTGACTTAATTCACTTAGCATAATGCTCTCCAGGCCCATACATGCTGTTGCAAATGGTAGGAGTTCCTTTTTATAGCAGCGTAGTATTCCGTTATGTAGATGTACCACAGTTTTTTAATCCACTCATCTACTGAACTTTTAAAAAATCTCTGAGTATCCTCCAAAATAATCAAGAAAATTTATTATGTAGAATAAAATGCTATGAAAAAGGAACAGAATATGTGACTTCCAAAATAAAACATTTAGAAAGATAATTTTATGTTGTCACTAGGAAAATCAAAAAGAATGGGACGTGATTGAAGAAAGAAGGGCAATACAGAGGGTTAGGCCAGGGGTCCCACATCAGACATTGTAATTTCCAGGAAAAAACACACACACAAAGGCAAATAAAGAAGACATCCCAGAGTAATGCTGGAAGAACATTTCTCAGAGCCAAAGAACCAGGAGTCTTGGGATTGGAAGGGCCCCCCAAATGCCTAATCTGAATGGGGAAACCCCAAACCCACACAAGGCACATGGAGACAGTTCAGTGTCCCAGGGTGATGGGAAGATCCTGAAAGGTTTTCAGACAGAAAAACAAGTCTTAAGAATAAGGACCACCTTGGCCTCCACAGTTTTATCAGTAGCACTGGATGCTAGAATATGATGAAGTAATATCTTCAAAATTATGGTGGGAGATGTGCAACCGTACTATCTAATCATTTCCTGCACTTCCTGGTAACTTCCTTGTCCTTAAACCATAGAGAAGGCCAGGATCCTCCCTCCGAGGGGATTTGTGGTGAGCACGTGCTGCTTCTCACCGTGCAGCCTCTCTTCCTTCTTCCAGTGGGGACAGTCGTCCAACTTAGCTTTTGAGAACTACTCTCTCCATTAAAGTCAATCTTAGTAGAAGGAACTTGTCTTCTATTTTATTGGATCACCTGTGGATCATTCTCTTATTTCTTAATGAAATCGAGAAGCTAAAAGGTGCTGTGCTCTAGTGACTTCCAGGAGAGGGAAAAGACTCGCTCTCAGGGGAGAATTGGCTTGATGAGTACCAACATTGGCTTGACTGAAAACTGCCGTATTTCTTGTATTCAGCACCTTGGTCGGTGCATAAAAGGTCTGTGAGGTGAGTGGATGGGTATGTCGGTGGATAGCTGAGTGGACAAGCAAGGCAAGAGCGTCAGAGTGCTAATAAGAGAGTTTGCATGGGTATCACTGTGTGCGGTGCACCGATTCAGAGCACTTTCACCCATTCCCAGTCCTATTGACTTAGATCCATCTGCATTTTCCCTTAAGCTCTTATATTGAAAACACCTATTTGAATTGGGTTGTTTGCATAGTCTTTTTGTTACTTAATTCTACTATTAGTCTATCATATATTTTGTGACCTCTAGTGGTTAAAGAATGTATATAAAATTTTGTCTCATTTTTGTATTTAAAAAGATTTCAGTGGCATGACTACAGAATATTTGGAAAATGTTCTAAATGATCACTTGTAAAATGAACAAGCGTACATACTGTTGTAAGCAGTTTCAGGGGTCCACAGTTCCACTGGACTCCAGGTCTAGAGCTGTTTTTCTAGAGAGAGAGGAAGGAGCTAACATTTATTGGCTATAAACTATGTACCATGTTTGAACCCAAGAGTTCTGATTATGTCCAGTTAGTCACTGTCTCACACTGCCTCTAGGTCGACGTTAATCACATGACTTCTTCCTTTCTGCCCAAGTTATACCAGATCTTCCAAGTACTGAGTTCTTTGGGAGTAGTACTCCTCGGTTAAACTTCTGTCTAAAGTTTCTTAACACATTGGCTAATATGTGGAAATGTCTTTACTATATATAACCCAATGTCAGTTTTAATTAAATTGAAAATGAGATAAAATTCCACCAAAACATACATTTCCTTGCATTATCTTCAGCAGGTGATTTTGTTCTGTGTTTAACTTTGGATTACAATCTACTTGGATCCTAGATAACTTCTCTTGGTAGTGGAAGTGATGCATGACTGAACCTTGAGCATGCTTGTAGGATGGGGAGAAATAAAAGAAAATTGACTTATTCATGATCTATGGAAAACCCATCCTTAATGAACACAATCGGTCTGTTAACAAGGTGATGTCAAATGAATCCTTCTTACCATCACAAGGGGACTGCTGGAGCCTAGACGTGTGTCAGCCTTACGTACTCACCTAACGGTGAACACAGTGAAGTATTACCAGAGGCCTGTACCCCCGAGGCCGGGTCTGAGCCCCGTCCACAAGCTCATGGCGGCCTGGGCTTGCGGCACGGACAGAAAGCTAAGCACGCGGGGACATGCGTGCTGAGTGTGGTCTTTCTCTTCACCAGGCATTTGGGCCTGGACCTGGTGCCTCGGAAGGACTTTGAGGTAGTGGATTCGGACCAGATCAGTGTCTCTGATCTCTACAAAATGGTAAGAAACCTACCGCTTGTTCCTGCACACCTCCTCTTTCTCCTGTACTTTCCCTAATTATGTTATGAACTAATGTTATGAAATAGAAGTGTTCCTTTGTCTTTGTCCCAGTATAATGAAGGGGTCTCCCTTATTCTGGCAGTGCATCACACTTGCTCTTCTAAATGGAATGGCTGTGGAGAGAGCTGGGCTATTGTGCTGTCGGTGGGGCGTTTCTCGGTTGTGCTGGTGAACAGAGCCAAAGCTCCTTCAGCCTTCACCAGTTCCTAACATTCTGTCTCTAGTTGAAGCTTAAAAGAGCCAGTTATTGGCTAATGTAGTGATTAACCATGGAAATAATGTGTCAATATTTCTAAGAGAGAGAGACAACCTGTTAAAAAAATGTATTGAGTTGGCAAATGGCCAAGATTACATTTTATAAGCTGACTAAAAAGAAGTAAATGAAAGAAAGATACACAATTTTAAAGTAAAACAAGCATCAGAAACCTTAGGTGACTATTAAGTTTAGACTAAGGGACTGGGTGAAACCTCACTTTAAGGAGAATGTACATATTCAAGGAACACACAGGGTGCCCCTGAAGTGTACATACTTTGCATAATTATAAAGGTAGTGCTTGTTAAATACACTTCATTTTCAAAGATGTAATAGAATCTGAAGACATAGTGTGTATATATTTTGGGGGGACACCATTTTTTGGAACACCCTGTATACTGGTGAGAATTATCAGTTTTAGAAAGAATTACAAGTTTCTATTTAAGAAGATAAAAAGGTGTTCAATATCACTGATCATTAGGGAAATGCAAATTAAAACCGCAATGAAATATTACTTCACACCTGGAGTAGAATGCCTGTCATCACAAAGACAGGAGCTGAGTGGTGGCCAGGATGTGGAGAAGAGAACTCTTGTGCACTGATGGTGGGGATGCAAGTTTGTATAATCGCTATGAAACTGTATGGCGATTCCTCAAAAAATAAAAAATATAACTACCATCTGATCCAGTAATCCCACTTCTGGATATATACCCAGAGGAATTAAAATCAGGATCTCAATGAGGCAACTGCACTCCCATGTTCATTGCAGCATATTCACAGTAGCCAACACATAGAATCAACCTAAACAAATGTCCATTGGTGGATGAATGACTAAAGAAAGTGCTGTGTATGTGTACAGTGGAATACGATTTGGCGGTAAGAAAGAAGTTACCTGTCATTTGTGACAGCATGGGGGAACCTTGAGAGTATTGTGCTAAGTCAAAGAGAGAATGACAAATACTTTAAGGTCTAATATGTAGACTCTGAAAAAGCTGAATTCATAGAAACAGAGTAGAATGGTGATCACCAGGGCTGAGGGTGGGGGGACGTTGGTCAAAGGGCACAGACCTCCACAGCGAAGAGGATTGCGTTCTGGGGATCTGATGCTCCGCATGGGGGTGGTGGGTGAGAGCGGGTGTTGTGCACTGGAAGTTTCTAAAAGGGTAGTTCTTAAATCTCACACCCAGCAACAGGCAGTTATGTGAAACGAAATTAGCTTATTTCACAGCGTATATGTGTATAGAATCATCACATCCTACACCTTCAATTTATGCAGCACTGTATGCCAGTTATATCTCATACGGCTAGAAAAACACTTTCCCAGAAGAGAGATATGAGTCTCCAGATTGGAATGGTAGAACAAGTATTTAACATTTAATTGTGAAATTTCAGCTCACAAAGCTGAAAAGCTTCCTGAGAGAAAAATAGGTCACCTACTAAGGATTTGTTGTAAGAATAGCATTTGTCTTCCTAAAAGCAACTTTGAAAACTAGCAACAATGGAGAATTGCCTTTAAAGTGCTGACGGGGACAAAATTCAACCTAGAATTTTATGTTTACTGAGCCACATTATCAGTCAAATGGGAAAGTGGCCTAGAGAAAATTTTGCTCACTTAGCCTCAAAAAAAAATCTCTTTCTTTAAAAACCCTTTTCAGGAAACCACTGAATAGTAATTTACTTATTTAAAATATGGGAGGAAACCAAAAGACGCTATTATGTGCCATCAGGAAAGGACTTCTGACTCAGTTGAGAGGTGCAAAGAATGCTTGGGGTGACCTCAGAGGGAAGTCCCAGGTTACGGGGGCGCAGCCGGCCTGAGTAACTGGTCCTCGTGGAAGCAGAGGCGCCACCAGCAGGGGTCTCTCCAGGGGAAAGCCCCCTTTATGGAGGGTCTGCTGGCTTTCCCGCGTGGGAAACGCTATTGAAAGGGCTTTTGGAGAGCTATTGGAGGGCATAGGAAAGACCCTATAATTTAAATAAAACTAAGTGACCTCCAATACAAAAGCAGAAGGCAGTAGGAGAAAGGAAGTGTAGTTGAAGTCCACTACTTGGCTTAGCGTGAACAGTAGTTAAATGTTACAATAGTATTAACAAGTTTTGACCAAAACTCGTGAGACATTACACATACGGTTGAAGTGAAATAGATATAAACAAATAGGATAATCCTCAGCTCCCATTATAAAAAGCCCACAATAGAGAAATCAAAAATTGGATAGAGCAAGAGTATTTTAAGTATGACATATAGAAATATTTTATTATTTTAGGAAGAACACAGTAAAGGTACAGACAGCACCTTTTGGGGCACAGAACAGGGTGAACGGAGGACTGATAACTTTATTGCAAACTTTTAAAAAAATATATTTTTTTATTGATTTCAGAGAGGAAGGGAGAGGGAGAGAGAGATAGAAACATCAGTGGAGAGAGAATCATTGATCGGCTGCCTCTTGCATGCTCCCCACTGGGAATCGAGCCTGCAACCCAGGCATGTAGTCCTATGAATGAATATTAATAGTCAATAATAACTTGCTAATTTAACTAACAATGCACATGAATATTTAATAGCAAATACAGCTTGTGAGATGCATTTATTTATTTTAAAGTGGGAAATTTTTTCTTCTTTTTTTAAATATATTTTATTGATTTTTTACAGAGCGGAAGGGAGACGGATAGAGAGTTAGAAACATCGATGAGAGAGAAACACTGATCAGCCGCCTCCTGCACACTCCCCACTGGGGATGTGCCCGCCACCAAGGTACATGCCCTTGACTGGAATCGAACCTGGGACCCTTCAGTCCGCAGGCCGACGCTCTATCCACTGAGCCAAACCGGCCAGAGCGTGAGATGCATTTAAATGAATATTTAATTTTACTTTAGTTTTATCTAGGGTTACGGTGTGTATTTGGAAAAGAAATGAGACCATTCTACTCAGAAACCAGTCGGTGGAACAGTTCACCAAATGCCCGTTTCCTCACACTTCTAGGGCCCACAGGAACAGGATAGAAACTCACTATTGAGTTCACCAAGACCAGGCACCTAATGTTTGTGAGCTAATCATTTTATCTTTGGCAAGGGTTACTTCTAAATGTGACTGACTTTTCTATAGTAACTAATTATAAGAAGAACACCAATAATAAGAATACTAATCATAGATAATAGTGGTCAATCACTCACAAATATAGGTATATACTAACTTAATCTGCACAAAATCCTGTGATGTTGAGTTCACAAAATGTTATCCTTGTCCTGGCCTGTTGCTCAGTGATTAGAGTGTTGGTCCTTGGACTGAAGGTTTCCCGGTTCAACTCCCAGTCAAAGGCACACACCTCATTTGCTGGTTCGTTCCCCACCCTCGGTTGGGGTATGTGCAGGAGGCGGTCAGTCAATATGTCTCTTTCACTTCGATATTTCTCTCTCCTCCCTCCCTCTCAGTATCTCTGAAAATCAGTGGAAAAACTGTCCTCAGGTGAAGATTTTTAAAAAAGTTATCCTCAGTTTACAGAGGAGGAAACACAGGTGTGAGTCAAGATGGAAAAGCAGGTGTCCTGACATAGGTCCCTAATTACCATGTCATGCTGCTTCTCTGTGAAATTTGAGCCTCATACTACCCCTGTGAGGAAGACAAAAGCCTTTATCTTATTGTTACAGTTAAGGAACACATCTCTTGGAGAGAGTAAGTGGTTTCTCTACAGTTTCACAACCTACTTGGGTGTGGCTGGGAGTGGGATCTGCTGCTTCTAACTGAGCCAGCAGCCGAGGACCCACAGGGAGAGAGGCTTGGGAGGGAGCCCCTTCAGGTTAAGGCGGGCTCAGGCAGCACGTGGAGAGAAGGAGCGGAGCCCAGCTCCCGTGGCAAGTACTTCCTGTGGCACCCCGAGCTGGAGAGGCTTGGGTTTGGATCCAGATTTTGTCCCCTTCTTGCCATGTGAGCCTCAGCAGACTGCTCCCGGGTACTCAGCCTGAGTTGTCTAAGGTTTGATCAGATAAGAGGAACACTTATCTAACGAGGCTGTCAGAATTCAATGAGCTCATATATGTCAAAGGCATAGCAGGATGCCTAACATGGAAAGAAGATGCGTAACAGACATTTCCTTCCCAGTTGAGTGAATTGTTCCTTCCTCTCTCCATAGCATTTGTCCAGCCGGCAGAGCGTACAGCAAAGCACGTCCCAGGTAAGCGGCTCACCAGCCCGCGGGGAGGCACTGGGAAATGGCGCCCCCTGGCTTTTCCTCTGGGCGGCGCTTTCTCTGGGAGCCCGACCCTTTACCAGGTTTGTCCCGGCGCCCTCCTCTGTGCTTGTGCACACAGCGCTGCCGGGAGAGACCGAGCGCTGGCTCAGCCTGCAGGGAGACACGTGTCACTGAGGAGGGGACTGTTCCACCTCGCAGTGAAGTCACGTGCATCAGGACCAGGCAGGATCCCCAGGAAATGACTTGGAAATGGTTCCCTGGGGAGCTGAGATGTTTGTGACCTGGGGGAGACTGAGCTCTCTCTTGAGTCGGAATTCCCGTTCCTCCATCCGTGGCTTGCTGTTCGCCCCTCCCAGCCGCATATGCGCCTCCTGCAGAGAAAACACCTCCAGGCTCAGTGCAGGGAGTTAGTCATTTAGTTTTCCTTTTATTTATGATTAATAGCCATGAATCAGTAACACAGCGCTGGGTTTGCCTTTCTCGTTAGGTAGACACAATGCGCCCACGTCACGGGGAAGCCTGCCGGATGCCAGTGCCCCATCACTTTTTCCTCAGCCTGAAGAGTTTCACCTACAACACCATTGGGGAAGACACCGACGTCTTCTTTTCCTTGTACGACACGAGGGAAGGCAAGCAGATCAGGTAAAAGCACTAGAGGTTCTGAGGCTCTGGGTTCAGATGGTAGCGCTCTGGCCTTCGGGGAAGCAAAACAAGATCAAGTAGCCTCCTCTCACTGAGCTGGGCGTTTTGCCTCAGGTCCCCGTGTGTCCTGAAGGCACGTGTGTGGCCTGTTTTTATCCTGTGCCTCCTTCCACGTGGGTCTCAAATCCCAGTCTGGGCTGTCAGCACTGTAGGGAGAGAAAGGGGGCACCTGTCCAGCCAGAGACAAGGAACACGGGGAACACGGAGCAGCACGGTCGCAGGGGCCCAGCTCCAGAGGCAGGACCATGGGCTCTGCCCCCGCACACGCACGTGCGCGGGTCTCGCAGGGCAGCAGGGGATGTGTCCTGAGTGAGGCAGCGCAGCCCTCAGTGCCGCTCCAGCCTGGGAGGGGACAGCAGCTGCCCCGCAGGAGGGAGGGGGCCTGGCTCCCTCACTTCTCTGGGCCTGGGCTGTGGGGAGGGGCACTGCCAGGGGCTGAGGTGAGCCTACTTTCCCCTCCTCCAGCTCCTCATCCCCAGAGGCCGGCTGAGCTATAAAGTTCTTTATCTTTCTGGAGGCTAAACCCTTAGCAGATTCAGGATTCACACATGGTTCTCCCGTTCTGTAGGGTTTCTCCACTTCCTTGATAATGTCCTTTAATGCACAACAGTTTTTACTTTTGAAGAAGTCCAGTGTTTCTAATTTTTCTATCATTGCTTTTGGTATCATAAGCACATTTTAAAAATTGTGTACATATTACTTTGAACAATTTGATGCCAATAAACATACTCAGACATGCAAGAATGTTACTTTGTAATAGCAAATATCTTAAGGCAGTCTAAATAAATAATAGTGTAACCTTTGAAAATACTGAGGCAGAAGGAAGTGAGGGACTAAAATAGTCTTCTGTTGCATAACAAATTGCCACAAATGTAATGGACTAAAATGACTGATTTTAGTTCGCAGCTCTGTCGATGAGAAGGCTGTCCAGGCAGGTCTGCATGCTCTGCTCAGGGTATCGCCAGCGGAAGCCATGTCACCTCGCTGCATTCTAGTCTGACAGCCCTGGGGGGTGTGCTCCAGCCTCACTGCTTGTTGGCAAGATTCCGTTTCTCACAGTTGTAGAAAGGAGCCTCCCACTCCCCTGCTGGCTGTCCGCTAGGAGCTGTTCTCGGCTCCAAAAGGCACCTGCTTTCCTCGCCTGTGTGGCCCCCTCCATCTTTAGGGAGCAGCAGTGCAGTGAGCCCTTCCCAGGCTTCGAATCTCTGACTTCCTTTTCTGTAACTAGTGGGAGAAAATTCTGCACTTTTTAAGGACTGGCTCACCCAGATAATCTCCTCGTTTTGCAGTCAGTCGTGTCATAAAATATAACCTGATCATTGGAATAAAAGCCACTATATTTGCATTCCTGGGGATTATGCAGCCTTAGAATTAAGAGACAAGTTTGGGGGACCATCTTAGAATTCTGCCAAAAAAGGGACTACTTTTACTTCTACATTCTGTATGTGAAAGAACATTAATGAAATATTGTTCACTGTTCACAACTACATGCATAGTATGACTTAAGTAACTTTTAAAAGACTACAGTTTTTGAAAAGAATCTTTGAATTGACAGATATTTGAAGTTTTGTCAGTAATTTTTTTAAGTAGCTGGCAACAGCCTTAAGGAAAAGACAATGATAGTGAATTATAACAAAGCCTGGTTGTGCTCTATGGAAAAAACCCTCCAAAACGTTTCGCCCATACTTGCCCCCTTCTTTCAATGGCCAGCTTGGCAGTGTGGCACCAACACCTGCTTTGCTTTTCAGTGATGATGGGTAAGGTAAGAGGAGAATTTAAAATGTCTTTCCTATTTTTTCCTAATATCATGGGTTCCCCTTCTATAAGGAAGTCATTACCTTTGTTTAAAAATATTTTTCTGTATGCATATCTATTATGACTGTTAACCATTATCTTATTTAACAATTACCATATAATTACCTCCTCAAAATAGTACACACAATCATCTGCTAGAATAGAGCCTGTGTTATCCGTGTTTGGTTCTGTGTGGTACACTTCCAGCGGGAATAAGTGGCTTCCCTATTCACAGGAGGCGTGTGATTGTGTCACTAACTTATTTTCTCGCAGCACTGGTGTGCCTGTCAGTATGCCCGGCTCTCTCCCTGCCCTTAGCTTTAGCAGGTGCTCTAAGCCTCAGGGCACCGGTGACTGACCTCAGCGCTTCACTGCCTGTCCCCAAGGAGTCTTCTCTAGGCTGGGGGTGGGAGGGTTGTTTTTTGTTTTTGTTGTTGTTGTTATTAGGCCTTAGGAATGCTAAGTTGCCCTCAAAAACTTAACCACTCTTGATTATCACACAGAAACACTTATGTTAGGCATCTTTTCACAGATGCTGTGCAAAACAAGCTAAAAAATCCTCATTTCCTTTTCTGCTGTTTACTCGCCATTCAGAATACCCTTGTGTAGAATAAACTTTTCCTTGAAAATCAGCTGCCTCTGTAATTGAAGTGAGGGTTCTGGCCGAGAGTCAGGCATTCTACCCACATGAGCTAACTGCCTCTGAAAGTCTCCGGTGCCCCTGGAGAGAAATTTTCTTTTAAAATGACGGTGAGAACATTGTTTACTAAGTCAAGCAGTTTTGCTTCCCTCTGCAAAAGGTCATGTCTGTGATGCAGCTGCAGCTCAACTGCAAGAATTCAGGCAGCTGGTGATGGTCCTGCAGTTCAGGCTTCCACTCAGGCCCCTGGTATGGTCCCCCTGTATGCTCAGCCCACGCCAACAGGCCCCCAAGGACTTTCTAAGTCCCAGCGGGAATAAGAGGGGCTAGAATCCTGGCTCTGCTGACAGTTGACCCTTGAACAACACGGTTTTGAACTGTGCCAGTCCTCTTATATGTTGATTTTTTTTCAATAAATATACAGTTGGCCCTCCAAAGTCCTGGTTTCACAGCCATGGAGTCAGCCAGCCGTGCATCAGAACAGTCTTTTTGGCTTTGGCAGGTGTGGCTCAGTTGGTTGGAGCATCGTCTTGTACACCAAAAGGTGTTGGGTTCAATCCCCTGTTTACAATAAGTAAACAATGTGCATGCAGGAGGCAACTGATCGATGTTTCCCTATCCCTCTCCCTCTCCCTCTCCCTCTCCCTCTCCCTCTCCTTCTTCTTCTCTGTAAAATCAATCTATAATAATAAAAGGGTAATATGCTAATTAGACTGGATGCCCTTCTGGACATCCTTCTGTACAAAGCTGGGGCCAGAGCAAAGCCCGTGTCCCAGGTGCTGGAGGGAAGCTGGTGCCGGCAGCCGGGGAAAGGAAGGCCTACTCTTGCACGAATTTTCGTGCATCAGGCCTCTAGTTATGTATAAGGGACTTGAGCATCTGCAGATTTAGTATCCATGATGGGGGAGGGTCCTAGAACCACTCCTCCCAGATAGAGAGGATGGCTGTGGAGAAGTTATATGTGGATTTTTTACTGTGGCCAGGGGTGGGGGTGTCAGTGCCCCTAATCCCCACATTGTTTAAGGGACAACTGTATTGCATTCCAGTGGGCAAGCCAACTCAACATGCTTCTACATATATGTCCAACGCATCAGATCATACTCAGAAACATTATAGGGAAAATCTGCTAAGAGATAGACCAAGTGAAACTTGCCCTTCGGATATGTACATTGGTCTGTAGTTAAACCTGTGTTGTTTTCATCTGAGAATAAGGTCAGAAAATGCTCTCCTGTGTGTACCATTATACCATCTCTCACTATATTCTGAGTCTAGATGTCAGGCTGGAGAAAAGGTTTTCTACAATGTCCTGCAGAGTCTGGATAAAAAGCGCAAAGGAAATGATCAGGTTCTTTGAGTTCTTTGTTTACAAGAAATTTGCCTTCTGCTCTGCCCAGATCATCACACAGAGGACAAAGTAGAGTCACACTAGACCCTGTCCGCATATCAGCCAGGGCATCAGGCTTTCCACTTGAAAAGGCGTGTTATCTGCTGCTTGAAAACAAAGAATGGAGATTCCTGAGAGGAAGGAAAACGGAGCATTGGATGTGCAGGCTTGGTGTCCGTGGAGCACGCGGGGGGCTGTTGTTAGGGTAACGGGAAATCAGGCACGGGGAAGAAAAGCAATAGTACAAATGAGAGGAGGCTCGGAAACGAGATTGATCCTTTGCAGTCATGGGAACCAGGAATGTCCACAGTCCGACTTGTTAGACAAAGGCAAATGGATGAGAGAAATGGATATTGAGAATCTCCAACACAAAATACATACAGCTGTGAGCTTCGGAAGATCTGTTCTTTGGTAGAAAACAGTGGGGACCGTTTTGTTGCAACATGACCGTATAAGCGAACTTGACCTAACATGGCGTCTGGAGGTGTGGCTGCTGCTGAGGGAGAAGTCCAACTCGTTTTCCTTCTGAGCATGTTTAGAAGAGACTCGTGTGGAAAGAGATCAGCGAGTTGCTTCCTTTGAACTCAGTTAATTATTATTGAAGCTCCTAGCCGCCCCCCTTGCTTGCCAGGGAGCCGTAATACATGTTGACTTAGGAATGTCTAACCCTGCAGAGAATTTTTGTAAGAATTTATTTGAGCCAAAACTGATGACAGTTGCTGGGAAGCAATATCTCAAATGCTCCAGAGAATGACAGTTTTGCAGTTTACTTTATGCATTTAGAATTAGAGGGAACATGAGGAATATTACATGGAAGTGGGAGAAAACAAGGCAGGGATTGGTACAGGATGGTTAACAAGATCATGTGCTTTCTTGAGGGTAGTTAAGGCTTATTTCAAAGATATGTTAACCTAGATGCACAAAAACAGTGGCAGCGCCTTACCCAAGACAAAGATAAACTCTCTGCTACAAACATTACCTGCCTCCGGTGTGACTGCCCACTGTGACCTGCCCAGGCAGAAATTTATGGTCCGATCACCCTGTGAGGTTACTTTCCATCTCTGGGCTTGTCAGTTTTACCCCCTTTTTGTCCACATAACACTTTACATGGACTCTTCAAAT